TTTTTTTATTTATATTGCCCAACATCACAATTTGTATGAAATTATAAACAACTTATGAGCTTTTTTACATTTTAACTACTTTCATTCACACACTCTTACTGACTTACAAACAGTCTCATTCTTTAGATCATGATAATAATAACAAAATGGTTTGAAAAAATCAATAGTTCATATATCTTATTACAACTTTACTTAGAACATATATTTACTACTTTGTATAGATTTATATTGACAAATCTCTTTGTGAAAAACAAACAGTATATTATATTTTTATAATAAGCTCATTGAAATATGTTTTTCCACAAACACCATTCTTTTTCAAATTTATCTATGCGGAGATTTTTGATAGCTATATATTTTTCAATATTTTGTTTCAATTTAATATAATTTAGTAAGCCCAAAAGATTTGGAATTTGATCTTGCATTAAACATGTAAAAATGTATTGCTTTGTATATAATATTATAAAATTCTTGACTCTGTTGTTATATGTCATTGGTATTTCACCTAGAATAACATTTTCAACATTAAAACCAACTCTTTTTTTTCATTGTTTTGTAAATATGTGAACTGAGGCTGGCCCATAGAGATAAAACTTTTTCACAACCAATGAAAACATGTTGAATAGTTTCTACTTCTTGTTTACAAAAAGTACAAATATCTGAATTCTTAATCTTAATTTTTTTAAAATAGGAGTTAACAGGTAGAATCCTATGTAAAATTCTAAATTGTAACTATTGAATTGTTGAGTCCTTTGTTGTTTTGAAACATACTTTCAAAACATCTTTTACACAAATTTCATTGATTCCATATGGAGATAATTCTACATTCCACTTGCATAAAGCTTTTAAAACAGTTTCTTTTGTGTTAAGACAATTGTAAATATATTTTGTACATTTTTCATACAACAATATGTCTTGAAAATAAACAGGTAAAAAAGGCTCATACATATTTTTCACTGAGAATCTATCTACATGTATTGACATATCCTTTATGTACTTTGAGATTGAACAAACAACACTATTGTACTGCATTATACATACTGTAGAAACGTTAAATCTTTGTTGAAAAGTCTTTTGAGTAAGAAAAATACCCCTTTCGTCTAAAAAATCACGAATAGTTTTAACACCATTCTTATACCAATCTTGAATGAAAATGCTTTTGTTATTAACTTTAATTTTTGAGTTATACCATACTGGTATATTTAAGAAATTGTCTTGAGAAACTGAATCATTCACAGTTTTTATAACTTCAAGCCATGAAATAAAAACATCTTGCCAAAATTTATTGTTTTTTGCAATTAAGATTTTACGAACAAAATCGTCCCCAAAATCAAGCAGCTTGTTTAAAATGTCATTACCATTTACAGCCATGAATAGATCCATCCATGGTTTGCTACAACAATAGTTTGACAATCTTTTAATCCAAGAACATTTCAATGCCATTATAAATTTGCTTATATATATCATTTTAAGTCCCCCTAATAAATAATCCTGCGTTATAGTAGCTCTATTATATTTGTCACACTTTGATTTCCAAATGAACTCAAAAATGTCTCGACAGAGAGAAGAAATTACTTCTGGTTTTGGTGTTGGCAATGATATAAACAGGTGATTTAATTTTGGTATAAGTATAGTTTTAACAACTGTAACACGACCAATTGGAGTTAGCATTCTCCGTTTCCAGTGTTGTATTAATGCTTTAAATTTGGGTATTATTCTATCATAGTTAATTTCATTTATTTTATCAAGTTCAACAGAAAAAAATTATTCCTAGTAGATCAAAGGTTGTGCATCCCCAATCTAGTTTCCATCTAGAATGATGAAACACCTCAGAAAATTTTTTAGAGCCTATCCATACAATTTTTGTCTTAGAACTGTTTATTTTTAAACCAGATAATCTAGAGTAAAAGTCAATGGTTTCAAGAGCAGCAAATAGGGATCTTGGTGAGCCATCAAGAGCTAGCGACGTGTCATCAGCATATTGAGAAATCTTATGTTCTTTATCATTGAAAACGATGCCTTTTATATCAGTATTTTGTTTAATAAGGAAAGCTAGAATTTCAGCACAAAGAAGAAATAAATACGGAGCAACAGGATCTCCTTGTCTACAACCCCTTTGGATATCAAATTGTTCTGATAAAAATCCGCATTGCAAAACTGATGCTTTAAAATTTGTATTAAGAATTTTTATCCAATTAATTATATTATTACCAAAACCAAAATATTTCAATACTTTATAAATAAAAGACCATGAAATTGAATCAAAAGCCTTTTCAAAATCGATTAAAACCAACAATCCTGGTATATTTTTAGCTTCCGTGTATGCCATTAAATCAAAAATAAATCTGGTGTTTTCACCAATATATCTTCCTTTTAGGAATCCAGTTTGTGTGTCAGAAATCAAGAGATCCAGAGTAGGTTTTATTCTGTAACTTAGGCATCCTGATATTAGTTTATAAAGTACATTTAGTAGAGTTATTGGTCTCCAATTTTTCAAAAAACTGTCTTGGTTTATCACCTTTTGGTATACATGAAATTATCCCTAGTCTTTGTGATATAGGAAGTTCCTTTTTGACAATATACAATTTATCGCTCGCATAATGTAGATTTTAAGATCACTCCAGAAAAATTAAAAAAATTCAGTTGGGAAACCATCACTTCCAGGAGATTTATCATTCTTCATATTTTTTAAAACTTGTAAAACTTCGTTTTCTTCAATATCTTTTTCTAAATCAATAAAGGTGATTTTATCTAATTTTGGAATTTTAGTTGAGTTAATAATTTCTTCTAAATCAATGTTAATCAGTTCATAATCTGTATTAGAATATAAATCTTGATAAAACTTTTTGACTTGGTTCAAAATTTCTGATTGATCATATATAATATTTTTTTCATTCAATTCAACCCTTTTAATAATTTTATTTAAGAAATTTCGTGATTCAAGATTGCAAAAGTATTTTGTAGGCTTTTCTCCTTCCTCGACCCATCTTGCTTTAGATCTTATAATATGTCCTTGTAATTTTTCCTTTCTTGTATTTTCAAGATCTAATTTCTTCTGTTCTAATAATTCCATGTTGATATCATTATTATTTTCTAGACATTCTATTTCTTCAATCAATTCTTTTTCTAATTTTTCTCTTTCTCTTTTTTTGTAAGAAGAATATGAAATTGTAACCCCCCTAATTTCCATTAAAAGAACCTCAAGAAACAAGCTATTGTCAATATTTTCAGTGTTCTGATTATCCGCATCCTGCAGATATTTTCTTCGGACTTCATTAATAGTTTCTTTAACCTTTGCAATAAAATTTTTATCTATTAATAAACTGTTGTTAAATTTCCAAAGTCCTTTCCCTCTTTCAAAAGAAATGAATTTCAGTTCTAAAACAACTACTGAATGGTCTGACCTATATCCAGGTTTAATAGTAAAATTCTCAACCAAGTTAGATAAATTTTCAGAAATTAAAATATAATCAAGGCGACCATTCTTAACGGGTTTTTTAATATAGAACAAATTTTACAACTTCATTTATCAAAGTCTAAATTCTTCTCCAAGTGTATATCTTTTTTGTCAGGATTTACAATTCTGTAATAATCTATTATCTGTAAATGATCCATGATTTCTAAAAGTAGATGCATTGGACCAGAATCTAGTGAAAATAGTACATCGTTTTAAAAAAAAAACCCGGTATGAGTGCTTTTTTGTTATGGAATATAATTCAAATTCTCCCTCTCTCTTCATGATGTATTCCATATTTCAATATTGTAAAATGGGAGTTTTTGAAAAATGGAAATGAAAAAAAAATATCCACAACAAAGTCATGCTTTAATGAACTGAATGAGAAAGGTGTGAGTTGTCAACTGGGTCAACACCCTCTCAGAAATGCAGAGAGCTGATCTAACAAATCCAGAGGCATACAATTTTGTTCATTACTTATTCATAGATCTAAATTTGAAGGATTGCATTGATTTTTGTTGACGTATTCAAGAAGTGAAGATATTTTGCAAGGGGTGTTAAACAATAATCAATCAATTAATTTTTTTTATTTATTAAGATGAAACTTCAGTACGACTGTGCAGGTAAGATTAAATGGTTTTCTCTTTTTTTTTTTTTTTTTTTTTTTGTTTAGCGGTACTTTTTTCAAATTACATTAAAAATGTATTTTTAAAATTTTTTAATAGAGAAAATCGTATCATTATTTCTCTTTAAAACTTACATTCGTCCATTCCATCAAGAGATTTCAGGTCCGATATCTGAAAGAAGTGAATTTTTTATCTTCAGTTTGTAGAAAAATTGTTTATTTGCTTATATTTTGATTTTTTGTATATTGAAGCCATTAATGCTTTTTGCAACTTACCGTTGTGTTAAAACTAATGGATTTCATTGCCATGTTAGATACAATTAATTCAAGCAAAACAGACTCTGTGGGAAAGTTTTCTTTTGACACAACCATCCAACAATTATTTACATCTAGGAAATGACTTATGTAGAAGTATTCTCCAGTAGCAATTTGATATCCATTTCTAAGTCCAGGATTGTTCTGTTGGAAAACAAAGTTATTTTCTAACGTTTATCTCATATCAAAATGCACATGTTTGCTTAAATGGGAAATTACTACTAGTATATTGACATGGTCGCGAAAAAATCGAATGGTTTATAAAAACATATCAACGCCATTCAAAAAACGAAAATATGCACAAATCAAAATTGTTATTGAATATACCAGAGTTTTGTTTCCAGTAATATTCCCAGATTTAAATACAATTCCACTGTCCATTGCAATCAATCTCCAATAAATTGTAGCAATTCCACTTTCTACGTCACTCACATCGATCTGTAAACTGAATAAGAAACCAAAAAACCCGAAGTGCTAAAAAGGCAATGATGAACAATACGAAACCTAAGGGCCACATTGCACACCAGGACTATTGAAAGGAAAGCCAAAATCATTTCAGTATTAAAAAGTTTTAATATACGTTAGTGTGGTTCAGGGAAATCGTTTTAAAAAGCTAGTGTGAAAAAGCTTAACAACTAACATAAAAAACGTCAGCCAGTATTTCACTTAATAAAATGTTGTAATTGCTGACTTTTTCAATATATCCACCATAAAATTTGCGAAATGCCAAACGGGACTGTTGGTATCCCTGCTTCAGCAACTTATTTGTCTAAAGCTTACCTCATTATAGGACCTATGCATAACAAATTAAATGGAGACATACACCCCATATTCAGGTGATAGGGATCTAGGGATCTAGTTCTATGTAAGTAAAGCGATGGAAAAGTTAAAGACATCATGTTTATCATAAAGTTTTGTTGTCATGTTATACATCTTTTTCATATAACTATTCGATTCTCGAATGTTCTTTAGAAGATTTTTTTTTTAATTCCGATGAATTTTATGTAAAACTTTGATTACTCATCGCGTACCGAACGAACCAATGTGTCATTTTTTGAACAAACTTGATTCTTCACAACATGGGGATGTTTTATATAATATGACTAATCAGGTCTTTGCTGTAATCCTATGAAAAAGGTCTTAGCCTTCATTTGAACAAATTTAAATTTCATTTAAACAAAAAAACTTTAAATGCAAGTTTGAAACTCGCCCCGTTGCTCTTGAGAAAAGTCAAAAAAGTTTAAAGACAGTTGAGTGGACAGAGAAACAGGCGAACGGACACCGGACAGAATGTGTCAGAAAAGCTCAGTTAAGTCACCGTATGTAGTTGGCTAAAAGGGGTAGTGATTACATAAAAACGTGTAAGCGTTATAGCTTAATAATCTAAAATTGAAAATAAAATGAAAGAAAAAACAAAAAATGCATTTAATGTATCAAGACAAATCCATTTTTTGAATAATCATTAGCACATCTGTTTATCATAAAGCTGAATATATTTAATGGTGCATTATGTTACACCAGGTATTAAATTATATTATTTTATCAAAACATATCACATTACATTTTGCATCAATGTTATATAATAATGGAATCCTGTATAATATGCATCTCGGCGGGAATATATACATGTAACTGTGCGAGAAAGTATTCATTCAAGAAATTTCTTACCGACTTGAGAATGCATATGTCGTTAAGTTTAAATTTGGTGAAAATATAACATCATTATGCGTCAGTTGCGTTGGTGGAGAGGAATCAAAGTACAAAGGCGTCACCCCTATTTTCGTATTACCCATAACATCTGTTGCTCTTATCCATATATTAATGATATCGCCGTTTTGTCTTGAAACAAAAAAGGTTTGAGTTTCTGAAAGAGAATCATTCACTTGGGTCCAGAAAACAGGTGTTGCGTTTCCCAGATTCCCGTGTTTATATGCATATTCAAATTTGGTTATGCCATAAATATTCTGAATTCCTTTTAGTGTTCTATTTCCATCTAAATCCTCCATTCTAGGATTTACATATTTTTTAATATTTGTTGTGAATTCAAAGTACTTATAAGGTTTCACGGGATTAAGCAATTTGTTCTCAAAATGAAATTTATTTTGAAAATGTTTTTTCCAAGAAATTTCAATCATTCCATCTAAATTATCCTGCCACATGTAACCTGTTTCTTCTTTTGCACTCGTTACTTTAATTCTTGTTGATGTTGTGTTCAGCACGGTTATTTTAGAGATTGGATCATATAAAACCAAAGTTCGAGCATATTCGGTGTTATTTGCGGCATCAACGACATTTAGCAGGAAGGAGTACATTCCAGGTTTTTCGGGTAAATGCACGAATGATGAGGATGTTCTATTTAATTCAAAGGTCTCCAATGGCCTCCAAGGATCTTTTTCACAAAGTTTTGGTGGAACTTCATTGTCAGCTTCTAGTAGATACTTCTGAATCACGTACTTTTCTATTCCTGACATATTGTCAACCCAACCATTCCATGAAAAATGGATTGCATGCTTGAAAAAAATAAGTAATAAAAATGATTTTAAAGCAATTCATCTGTTTCGTACATGCATTTCATTGATTTAAAATCAGTAAAAAAAATATAATTTAAACTTTTCATCATTATGAAAATAAAAAAAAAATAGTAACCTTGGTTATATCTTCTTCAACGTTGAAGGCTATTGCTTGACATTTTCCATGCAGCAAACAGTGATTGGGGTTCACTAAATCGAATAGAAATTGTGTGCTTTTGCTGGCATTTTGTCCGATAAATGTGTTCACACGATCTCCATCTGGTGTTTTAAGCTTTCGATATCCTCCATTTGTTGCAATGGCTGTTAAAGTCAAGCTGTAAAAAAATCAACTTCAATATTTATTATACATATTGATAATCATGTAAAAGTGCTAATCAATAAAACCAAAATGTGCCGACAGAAAAAGAACTACGTACTTGTCCCCATGTTCCAGAAGTCGGTCAAAATTTGCATTTGTTAAGTTGCACCAAAATACGTCCTCATTTGGTGAAATGGAACCAGGATTATTTGGACATTTAAGAATTGTACTGTTTATGCTTATAAATGCCTTTGATGAATCTAATTTACAAAGAAAGATAATTTATAATTGACAAAATAAATGTTTTTTTCTCTTTACATTATGAATTGCAGGTTATACCTGTATATACATTACACAGTATTTCATGACTAGGAGGGGGAACAATCAAAATGTTGTCTCTCAATAATAGGGAAGATCTGGATAAGTGTTGCCCGAGGCTAAAATCGAGTTTTCATGAAATTATTGTTTAATTACCGAATCCATAATATAATTTCTTAAAGTATAATTATGAAAGAATTTTCGATACAATTACAACAGTTTGCTAAACAGGTGTATTCCATGCTTGGACCTAAGTTACAATGACATCGTCATGATTGACACTTAAAAAGTGCAATCCAACAGAAGCCTCTCGCCAATTAGCGAAGATGGCAGAGGATGAACAATTCTCATCATGGTTCATCATAGAGAACATATTTGACATCCCATCTATAGTCACAAGTACCTTCCCACGAGTACTTGATATCAGTCATTTATGCCAAAATATGCTTCATTTTCTACAGCATTCTTAAAAATAATGGCGGTAAAGTATGGAAATTTTAACTACAGCGTCACAATAGATCAATTCAGCAATGCAACAGTTCATACTGTGACCAGGTAAACATTTTTGACTGTTTTATTATATAAAAACATTAAAATAAAGCAGGAATTCGAACAGTTCTAAATGGCTGATTCAATTTTAAAAAGCTAGACAAAAATATACATTTTGAGCTCAAGAACGTAAAAATAGAATTACCATTCCTATCCGATTTGCTTAAATCCATCTGGATCATTCCCGACACAATCCCAAACTTAAAATCGTCGATATACCCCGGAGAATTCACTCCATGTAGATTTTGAAATGTTGCAGAGAACTGTACGTTGATGAAGTTGTAGTCTTTACGGTTCACCCACCTCGTGCTGATCCCGGTGGAATTTGTTCCAGAGGAATCAGCCATAAACTTATAGAGTTCTCTCTTTTGTCCAGTTCTCTCTATGTTGGCAAGGAAAGAGCTGCACTGACTTATCGTGGGACTCGCCAATGACGTCACTAAATAGGTTAATGAAAATTATTGATTCATGCTAATATTTTTTGAAATTGCCACAAAATGATTTTAGATATTCTGTTTTTAAAGGTGCATGGACACAGACTTGAAGTTAATATTTTCTGTATAATATTACGACTTATATATTTTAATAGCATTTCACACAAAAATGTATTAAAAATCTTATTTCATCTAAAGGTTATTAAAACATTAAATTTTTAGACGGGTTTGATTAACACATCGAATCCATCCAAAAATTTGAAGCTTCAAAAACTTTAAGATGAAATAAAATTTTAGTATATTTTTGTATGAAATGCTATTAAAATATATATGTCGTTACATTATAAGAAAATGTTAACTTTAAATTATGCACCTTTAAGATATTAGGAAAAATAAAGAGAAACCCATTTTGTCTTACTTGATCTACATAAGTCTAATCCAGAATTGCCACTAAAACCTTCTTTACACTGACAGTGGATAGAATCGGTGCATGTTCCAGGAAAACAAGGCAAGTGGTATGAACATAAGGCTAAAATATAGAAACAATGTACCAATACTAGAGAAAATTTGGATTTTCCAGTGGACATCTGTGAGTAGCGCAATCGCAACTTCTTGGGCCTTTCCGACTAGCAAAAAAAGACCTCGAATGTATTAGGTAGACGCCATGATAATCCTTTTCAAGATCTTTGAAATAAATGCATGAAGACCTTTTATCTGTGAAATATGGAGTTAAACTTTATTCAATGTAATGATATAACCTAAAATATACTAAAGAAGGGACTTTTAACTCCGTCTATCCTATAGTTGAATAAACAGGAAATATAAAAATTTTAACATCCGGTGATGTTAATACATTCGAGATTCTTTTCCCGACCTCTTACGGAAAGAACTGAGATGATGCGATTGGTGAGTAGCGCTGACTTTTACATTGCACGGTTTTGTTTACTTTTACGCTAAGATAATGTAAGGAAGCTCTTTCGTTACATAAAGGTTTAGCTCAACATTTAATCAAACGAAAATAACGTTTAATCTTTTGAAATAGAAGCAGGCATCGAATTATTGGCAAAAGTATTTTTTTTTATTCTTAAAGTCCAGGGAAAGGTTGTTGACCTGACCTGACCGTGCCTCTAATATAAAACGGTCAAATTAAATCTGAATGTTTCCATTCAATTAGAATTAGAAATATTGTCTTCTTCAATCTTTGAAAATTCCATTTTTTAATACAATAAATAAGAGAAAAATTCATTACTTTACAATTTCCCTATTCTCGAAATTTGCGAAGTTTTCTTCCTGGCATGTTTTCTACCTTAGGTCTATTTGATTCATTAGAAAATAAAATCAAAAGGAGTTATTATCCCCTTGTGAAAATAGCATTTTAAAACCTTTTTTCTTTATAAAAAAGACATGTAAATCTTAATTCAATTTTTTTTCCTTTACCTAATGAATTTACTTTTTATTTAAAAAAAGATGCCATTAATTGTTCAAGGTATTTGCACATACGTATTTCACATGTAGCTCCTGTGTAAGTTGCCGTACACATACACTTGTTGGGAGCAACGCACGTGCCTCCATTTATGCAACTGGGATTACACACGGCTAAAATGAAGAAAATATACAAAATAAATAGTATAAACAATACATCGTATAGCTGAAGTAAATAATTTTATTTAAAATATAAAGTATAACCCCACCATCACCATCTCGAACATCAAAATTAAAAGGCACTTACGGATTGAACAGTGAGACCCTGTGTAGGACGAGATGCAGGAACATGACCGTGACCTCGTGCACGTTCCACCGTTCATACAAGGTGGATCACATATAGCTAATCAGTGAAGAAAGAAAAAAGAGATTTATTTATTTGCAACATGCTCAGAAACTGGTGAAGAAGGGGAAAATAAATTTGGGATCTCCCATGATTTTTAGTTGGATGAGTTGTCTGTTCTTCATTCCTTAGCATTGGCTAAGTGATAAAACACACAACGAGCTGGATAAAAATTATAGCCAACTACGAATCATTTTGATTCCTTTGTTCCTATGTTTAATACATCACTGTTTTTATAAAGGACTCAGCAAAAAATCCAAAGAGTCCTATCCACGGGATAAAGGGGTAAGCAGAACATTAAAAAAATAATGATGAATAAAAAGATTAAGTCGGCAAATAACAGTATATAAGAAAGACAAAAGTTGAACATATACTAAAATGACGCATGTCGTAATACTGTATAACATAAAAGAAGAGCGTGTGACAGATTTTATTTAATCAAATTTACACTTTCTAACATAAAATTATGATTTTTTTTTTTTACTTTTCATGGCAAACGTAAGCATAAAAGATCTAAGATTAAATAGTTTTTTGTTAAATCGAATGAATAGTTTCAATGTTATCTCTAGTAGTCTACTTTTTGCATGAAATACTAGTACTTAAATTGGTATGTATACATACGTTGATCGCATCTAACTCCTGAGTATCCGTTACACTGACATGAATTCGGACCAACACATCTTCCATTATTCTGACAGCGAGGTTCACAGACAGCTACATTGGGATTAAATTTGAAATACGTTGTTTAAAACACTTTTGTGAAATACTTTGTTTGATATACCTTGTTTGGAATACTTTAATGAAATATTGTAGAAATTTTATGATCAAGATTCTCACATGTTAGATTGTTATCAATGTCTTTCTATAGTAAAACACTCAAATATGAAATAAGCGTGTCACTATCTGTGATGTATTTACACTTCGAGTTCTACAGTACAAATCGAATCAATTTATCAATCACCAATTTTTATTATACCCGCACTTTCGAAAGAAAGTTCGGGTATATTGTTGTTACTCATGTCCGTCCGTCCGTCCGTCCGTCCGTCTGTCACACTTTTCTTCCCTGAACTCCTCCTACATTTTTCACAGTAGCTTAATCATCCTTTGG